AAAAATGTAATAGATTTTTACAGTACTTCAGGGTAACGTCAGTACATTCACAACCTAGTTAAACACCATACATCTCTAGTGTGCAGTATAGCTTTCCACTGATAGTTATCAGCAAACGTGAATGCCAATAGACTAGCCATGTCTGGCTGGACAGCTATCTGACCAGACAGTCAGTATTTCCCTTTGTTTTACCTTTTCCCTCAAATCTGCCCCTTTTCCACTCCATCTGTCTCACACCTACACATACACTTACATTAGCTCTCTCTTTCTCTCTTTTTCATTCACCCCTAGCTCAGGCACCTGATTTCATTATGCTTCTTTAGTTTGGTCACTGAGCTGATTTGGCCTCTGCTCGATGTTACTGAGTTACACTGCAGACAGAGGGGATTGAACACATGCACACATTAACATACAAGATGAGACTATATCTATACAACACATACAAAAGGTGCCTGCATGTGCATAGCCATGCTGCTTCAGTTACTCAAGTTGCAAGATTAATTTCTTGTCAGATCCTAGCTAACACTCAGGAGTTGGTGTTGTCCACATAGCATTGCAGTGAAAAACTGCAATACAGAGCCAGTATTATATTGTGTACTGGTGTGTATCATGAGATTACAATGGCTTACACAGCATCACTGATTTGATTTTGTACCCTATGTTATCACAAGATTCTTGCTATGTATTAGCTCAACCGTAATTTGTGCTGGTACCTAGGACAAATTGGAGAGAAACTGACATGTCTTTTTTTTCATGATGAACGGCCAAAAAAATACCCCGTGCACACACTGCTGTAAACAATAACAGTGTCATAACAACTGGAACAGCACTGCAAATGACACATCAATATACATTACCATGAGGAGTTGTCTGTGGTGCAGACAAAAAGAAAAGCTAAGCCCTAAAAATATCACAAATCAGTGCAAATAGGTTGTTTTGCCTGGTTGTAATAGTTAATAAAAGACTAAATCCAACACAATTATGTTTAATCAGTTAATCATCAGCTAAATTTCCTGATAAAGGCTAGTACAAAGTATAAGGTAGCATAAGGTAAATCAAACTATAATGCAATTCTTTAACTCAAGACTGGTACCCACAACCTTATAAACATTACCTCCATACTCTAACTACTTTGAATGCATCCTTACAGCTGGAGCAAGGTTTAGAGATCTGGCCTTCAAATGGAGCACGGTCCTCTACATTACATTTACCACCGCACATACTTCTGAAGAAATTGGGCATACCAGAGTGCACAGGAGTAACTACTCTGCAAACTGCTTCTGCGTGTGTGCATTTGTATCTATGTGTATGAATTGTGTTAAAGGCTGATGGCATAATTTACCAGTGATTTGTTCTGTTATTACACATATCATACCATAATATAAATCATACCAAAAGAATAGAATATGGAAAAGAAATATAATTCTTCTCTGAAGAAGAGAATAAAGAGCCTTCACTAGCAGTGAAAAGCACACACCCCCCCACACAGTCTCCTGAGATTTTTTTAAATAAATTTTCACTCTGATCTAAGCTCTGAACGTTGCCCCATGTCTCAATAATATCTGGCAAGGTATACATACACAAACTCTTACAGCAACTTCTGAGCAAAGCACATCAAATCAGGTCAGGACGTGCACAAAAGGACAAGCAAGAGAAAAAGTATTCTCCCTGAAAAGGATCCTACAGAAATTAAGATTGTATGTGTCCATTTTCCTTGTTGAATTATCAAATGTAAGGCAGTAGCACATTCCTTATCTTATCACTAACACCGATGACAATAATCTGGTTAGAGAACAATATAAAAACTAATCAACTGCCTGAATAATCTTTTGATGCAGGATAAGCATGTTCAGTGGGTTGAAAAAGGACAGTGTTTAATGTTGATCTTAGTATTAAAGCGGACACTGAGCCTCGTGTGATAATCTATATTTATATTAGTGGGAGTTTCCCCTTTAATCGCCTGCTGAGATTAAACCTTAATGTTTCCGGCTGTTTGGGGATAGTGGGCCCCACTCTAAGAGGACGAGGGGGGGCGATGTGGAGTGGGGGGTGAGAAAACAAGATATAGAGACAGAAATACAATGGAAAAAAAGAAAAGCAGAGAATGACAAAATGGGGAAGAGAGGAACATAGAGAGAGAGAGAAAAACAAGAAAAACAGAAAAGAGAAACAGAACAAAAATATAGAAGTATAAAGAGAGAAGGACAGAATGAAGACAGTGACAGACAGAAGGACCACATGAAAAAAAGAGAGAGAGAGAGCGCAGAATGAAGCAAGAGAGAGGTGAGAGAGAAAAAAAAACACTTGCCCCTTTTAGCCTTTAATATCCTCTTTTTGGTCCAGCAGCGCCACACGGCCCAATTAAAGCTGCTTTCATGTAGCAACACTGGAACCATTTTCCCAGATTAAACAACACGAAAACTGACCACAGAGTGAGGGACACAGTGAGGGCAAGAGAGGAAGAGAGCAGGAAGGAGAGTTTTTAGCTTATTTGTGAATGCTGTGTTTGTAGCTGGTCATAAAGCAGTCCTACAAAGTAGTCAACCTGCTGCACTACGCAAAGCAGAGCAGCACACAATCACTTGCACTACAAACCATACACACAAGCAGCAGCATTACCTGAGGATTGGTCAGACGTCACATACAAGCAGCCTCTCTCTCTCTCTCTCACACACACACACACACACACACACACAAAAAGGACATCAGTAGTAACCGTGCACTGTTTGTCCAATTTGTTTACATCACTGTAGCACTTTGCCTCCTGCACAACCATCCTGTCACTCCATCTGGCAAGGGACTTTATCTCCCAGAATTCCCTGCACCTCTCTGTTTGATCTCCTCTCTCATGCTCTGCCTTCCTCTCTTTCCACTGTCTTTGTTTCCATTAACAGCACCCACCGACGTGGGCAGGAGTACAATGCACATCTGTGTTCAATCTCACTCTGGAGACTTTCTCACATGCCAGCAGTGTTGTTCTAGACCATTACAGGAATACTCATACAGTTTTTGAAATAAAAAACCTATAACATCTGTAGCATACAGTCGATTACCATGGACAACACTTTCTCTGAAGGAACAGAAAAAAGGTTCAAAAACACACAAACCACACCTGCTGAAGCACCTGCCCTTTGGCTTCTATTTTTATGCAGTTAAACAGGCCCAAGTGATTTTTTCATATTTCCATAGCAACATGATCTGCAAATGTTCACAGTAATCTGACAAACACTTCTTGAGATTCTCCATGAAGACATTTTTCATTGTAAGAGTTTTTCAGTTACTGAGCTGTGTGTACAAAGCACATAAATATCACCTATTTTATTGTAAAGGGCCCCTATAAAGGAAAAAAAACATTCTCACTTATTTTTATGCAATATGTAAACATAGTTTTATGCCTCCAAATCCATATATGAAGACAGTTTGTTTTCAAGGAATTGTTCTGTGATCTCACAAAAGCCAACATATTAACATATATCCACTTATTCAGCCTACAGTACTTTAGCCCGACTCATTCTCATTGGAACTTTAAGAAATGTTTCAGCCTAGACTGCCTTTTAAATGGGGCGCAATACAGGGCATCCAAAATGAAGCTCATTTACATATATCGGTCTTACGATGGTACCAATTTGAAGAATATAACAACTTATAGTGAAAGACAGCCAGTACAGTAAAGTACATGGCAGGATTACTTTTAACAGTATAACAACTAAGCTATCAAAAGTACACAATGCAAGAACTCCATATTCCCCTCAAATGAATTTGAACCGTTAAATTTAACTTTTTATTCACTTTTTATATAATGACCAAAAATGTTCTATGGACATCATGTAAATAAAATGTGTAAGTACAATCATGCTGATGTTTGCTGTTCTGCTTTGTAGTCACTTACCAGTGTTTGACAAAGTCTCTTTTCACTAATCATATTTTTTAATGCGTAGCCTATACTTTTATGTATTTACTTTGGGAAGCTTATCTGGTTCAAACAACAAAGAACTGTACTGAATTAACTGTGTTTTGCATCAATTCACCAGACATTGCTAAAGGCTGTTACAACTAGCTCCTTGATCTGTAACCCCACCTACATTTGCACTCACACCACTTTCAGCTAAAATGTTCACCAATGGTCACCTCTCGAAACAAATATATCACTTTTATTCTCTACAGATGCAGCAGACAGAGTTTAGATTACAAAACACCTGAGTATTATTTTAAAATCATGCACAACATGCAGGTCATCTGATGAGAAGTGTCCAGTGATCAAGGCAGTTTAAACGTAGCTGACCTGGACACATACAAATGCACATACTTTTCATATTTCTCTCAATCCTCCTCTGCTGTCATCCCAGTATCTGCACCTGCCATTATACTCCAAGATCCTTTGCTAATTCATTATTGAACTAAACTAGATCTAACGCCTTAAACTCATCCCTATGTAGGCCCACAATTCTTCACTCAACACATAATTTGCATATAAGTTGCACAATAGTTACAGTACAATCCACAATATTTACTAAAAGATAGATTTTAAACTTAAATTAATAAACATTTCAGAGATGAGGAGTTAAACAGCAGCCTGAATTCTCTCTGCACTCATTATTCAGATTATTTGAAGTCAACCAAGTACACTCCCTCACTCTGGCTGACTTACACTCCCTCTATCACTCTCTCGAGCGGAGTGGAGATTACTCTGCCTAGATTACAGCTAGTGCAACTCAGGATGAACTCTCTACTCTATTATTAAACACGCACGTCAAAGTAAGGGCACTCGTCCAACATCAGCAGTATCCCGCCACGCAAATGTGCATATGCTAAAAAACGATTCTGGATCAGCACTACCAGTAAAGTTAATGTTTAATGTCTCTGTTAAATGCATCTTCAGTAGCGCTGATTTTCAGCTCTACCCTGCAGTTCATGAGTTGCTCATACTTACTTGACAATTCAGCATACAAGTGACTCACAATTGTGAGCAACAGGTGTGAGGGATAAACTAGCTAACTCACCCACTTTAAACTGGGACGTCTGGTCTTTAGCATCTGCGTGTTCCTCGGCGAGCATCATGTGCAGGATCCCGAAAGAGTTCTGGATGCCAAAGATGGAGCCGTTGCACCAGGTCGCAGCGAACACCACCAGCCAGCCGAAGCCGCCCTCGGGTGGAGCGAACGCGGGTCCTGGCAGTGCGGTCGTGGGCACGGGGGGCGGTGGCGTGGCTGCTTGCCCCTTTTCGGACCCAACGGCGTGGATCAGCTGCACCGCGCAGTCATCTAGCTTGGTTTTGCTCTCTGCCTCCTCCCCGTGTTCACGCGTCTCGGTGCTCTCGGTGTGCTGCTCCACAGGGGGATGCTGGCTCTGCACCTCGGACGTGGACACCGCCTCCGCACGGCTCTCTGCACCCCCTTCCCCGGGCTCCGGCGAACCGGTGCATTCTTGGCTGCTCCCAGCGGCGTTGCTACTGCTGTTTTCCGGATGCATCTTGTTTTCCTAGAGCCTATGCATCCAAAAGTAGGCTGGTATATTCAGCAGAAGTCTTCTTGGCATATGCAACCGACCCAGGCTTCGTGCACACGAAGAGCAAAAGACAAAGACTCTGTCCAGGTGGAGAGTTTATAAAGAAGGAATTTAAATAACAATGAAGTCCAACCTGATGTGCTCCGGGATCCTACGCAGCACCTGGGAGCCAAGGGGCAAGAAGGGTTTGCATGTCGAAACCTTGTGCTTGGCACGAAAGGTCCCTGCTGAACCCAGAACGTGCAGCGAGAGGCAACAACTCTCTCCGGTCAAAAACAAACGAGCCCTACGCTAGAAGAAGGCAGAGGAGAGCTCACACCGAAGCTCCACTCCACATCCCTTTATCCGCAGACGAATGAGAGCCCGGCTCCTCCTCTCTCATTAATTTAACGTTTTTACCCGCTCTCCAGCGCAGAGCCCTAGCTGGTCCTGGCTGCACCGACGCTGACTCTCCGTTAGCCTCCGTCATAAACTTAAAGTAAACAATATCTCCATGCAACAGCCCCCTCCTCTCCCGCCTCCTCCTCACCTTCAGCACCAATGGCGAGTCGGAGCAGAGGATTTAAAAATTCCACCGGCACAAGATTTACACACGGGATCGGAAAGCAGACACCAACCCCTCCCTCACTCTCACGCTATTTTTCCCCCACCCGTAATCCGGCAAACCCCGCCTCCGTGCAAAAAGATTGACTGATTGCGCGCAGCCTCGTGCGCTGGGATTGGCTTGTAATATGGCCGTAATGTTCTTCTACTGGCTTGTACGAGCCTGCTTTCTGCACTATGATTGGCTAACACTGTCCCGCCTAATAATATTTCTCATTCTGAGTTTGAACTGGTTAGTATTATCCACCTCTTGCGCTGGGACTGGCTAAAGGTGTCCGCCTCCTGCCCTGAGATTGTTCAGAAATATCCGCCTCCTGTGCTCGGGCTGGCTAGTAGTATCCGTCTCCTGCGCCGGGTTGAGCTAATAAGAATCCCCCTCCAGCGCTGGGATTGGCTAGTAAAATCCCCTTGCTGTGCTGCGACTGGCTGGTAGCCCCCTTTCTCTTAAGCTCGGATCCATTCTCATAAGAAGCCAGTAATGAACTAGGCAGGATGACGCGAGCATTGTGAGCCATGGTGCGCGCATGCGCAAGTTTGACACACAGCGACCGTCAACAACGTGCCGGGAGCGAAGTCAAACAGTGTCCATCAGTGAAATCAATGTTGACTACCCACAATCGATTTAGGCGGTGGTGTAGGCTGTTTAGCAGAAACAGTTCCAGAACCCGAGTCCTTCTCCGCCTAAAGCTTTATCTCTGAGATATACATCTAACCTGTCCAATCATGCTACGTGCTATCAACAAGACGACGTTTTACAATACAAACCGGAAAACGCGCCTTCTATATTAAAGCGCTTTGAGACAACATCCTCCTGATGTGCTCCATCCAGTACACTGTTGGCCCGCGTGAAATGGAAATGAGGATAATCGGGCGGGCACGGAGGTAAAGGCAGTGTTTTGGGTAGCCATTATGGGCTATGATATGGAGGGGGAGGGACACATGACGCGCTTCCCTGAAGGACTGCCGATAGAAAATTTACAGTAAAACTCACAGTCGGCGCTGCTCTGTACAAACGATCACTGCCTGAGATATCCAGTGTTTGTATGGCCAAATGGGGAAATAAGTATTTTAACAACCTTTCACTTGGTAATTTTCTGCGAATACTTAATTTTACACCCTTACATTTACACATTAATCTTCTCCGATTTCACTGTTATTTAACGCAAACTTTTAGGTTAAATATTTTACCCGAAAATTAGGAAACAAACAAAAGAAACAAACAAAAAGATTTCCAAAACGGAAAACACAGTCCTCTAATGACAAGATTACGTTCCCTCTTAAGAATTTCACGGAGAAAGTTCAGTTTCACTTGACAAACAGCTGTAATTTCCATTTATTACAGCTAGTCCTAAGAGAGACCGCAGGTGTGGTGGTGTCAACTCTGCTTACTCGCACCTCACTTCACCACCAGGGAGCAGCACTGCTTCACTAGAACTGCTGCTAGAAAACCAGAGCATGAAGTAACGTAAATAAGGGCGATGAAGTGCGAGTTCAGTGGAGTGAGAAATATAAACAGTGAAGTTGCCACTTGAGATGGTAATAGAGGTGATGTAAACAGGGGCCCACTGGACCACAACTGGCCTCTGCTTCACTGCAGACTGTAGAGCGCGCGTGAAGACATTTCTGTTCGCATTCATAATCAAAATCAAGCACAAAAGCAGAGATAGAAATCTCGCCCGTTGTTTACAGGTCGATATACGATGAATCCTTCTCGTCAAAATGGGTGTAATACGGAATATTCCCGCCTATACACACCATTATACTAACGTTAGCGTACAGCCTGTTCTTCATTGCAGATTGTGATAGCAATTGTGGATTAATACACTTAAAGAATTACTTCGTGGACACACAACTTAAATATTCACAAACACGAATAAAATGCACTCCAGCCCATCGCGTGTGGGCTGGCTTTGACCCGTATAAGATTCACTAGGCATCTAGAGTTAGGTTAGCTACTAGTCTGAATATTGTTTGAAGCTGTAACTTAACTTTGCATCTATAACAGCAACAACTATATCATACTAAAACTTTCTATCGCAAATATAGCTAGTAAACTCTCAACACTTTCATGGCATGTGTAAACATTAAGTCAAGCTTCCTCTCTAACACAGGATAAAACAGTTAAGCTAACTGGTAACGTTAACTAGCTAGTTACAGTAAAGACAAGTTAATAGTTAAGGCTAATAGTTAACGCCAACCTACCACTCCTACTGTCCGAGGTTCATTACACCACTCTGTTGGAAATAAAGAAAGAAAGAAAGAATGAAAGAAAATGAATAACTAACCTAATACCTGCATGGTTAATCTAAGTCACCTCAGTTTTGTGCTATACTAGCTAGCCAAGTTTACCTAGCTAGCAGTTTCAATCAGTAACGGTCACAGTAAATTCCCAGCTCGAGTTAATTATCAAAATTAATGTATTCAAACGTTTACACATCATTATTAATATATTAATATGTCTTAAAATATAATAATTTTAAGAATAGCATAAAGAGACTAAACTGTTCACCTCTTCTGCAGCAGTTCCTTGTGCTAGTGGCACGAACGACAGTTGGGCTGTTAGCAGAGTTTCCGTTAAATTTTGAATATGAGATAACGGTTAGACCCGCGCGGTCAGCTGGGGGTTTACCCGCCAAATTGAGACAGTGCGTCATGATTTTGGTGGGTTTTATATAAAGTATATAAAATATATAAAGTATATAAGATAAACAAGCTGCTTAAAATAATAATAAAAAAAACTTAATAAACTGTTTAATATAAAATAACAGAAATATGACCATACCTAACAGTACCTTTAAAACATTGTTTGATGCAAAACCGACTATTGAAATTGAAATGAATTTGTTTCTCTCTTAAAGTGTTTCTATGCTGGTGTTTGAAAGGGAGTCTAGAAATGAATTTCTTGACAAATAAACACAAAAGTCTGTGCAAACAGTGTGTATAACGTTCCACACTTCATTTTTAGGGCCTCCAGAAAGCCAATTCCATCTGTGTATTAAAGGAGACTGTCCGACTGTTAATTTTCCAGTGAGAACACTAAAAGTAGCTCATATGGAAGTACTTGATTTATGACACACAGCTTAAATCAAGTAGGCCCACTGGCCTGCACCTTTTAGTGTTTTCCCTACTCCCAACACACCTGATCCAACTATTCAGCTCATTAGCACTCCATTATTGAAGTGGTTGTTTTAAAGCAGGAAAAACAGTAAAATGTGTAGAGCAATAGGTCTCCAGAACTAGCGCGGAGAAACACTGGAATATTTTTCATATCCTAATATCTGTATAAACAGGACTTTAAGGGTGCTGTGATTTCAGATTAAGAGAAGGAAAAAGTAGATGATTTCCAGATGTGCTTTATTTTCTCACCATTTTCACAGGGAAATATATTTAAACTTTTACTCTCCTCACACCCACACTGCCCTAGAGATGTCTGTAATGCTAAAGTAATGTGAGGCCTGCATTATTTTTGATTTTGGCAGGTTTCATATAAAGTACATAAAATATATAAAGTAAGATAAACAAACTGCTTAAAACAAAACAAAAAAAAAAAAACTTCAAAAACTGCTTAATATAAAATAACAGAAATATCACCATACCTAGCTGTACCTTTAAAACACTGTTTGATGCAAAACCGACTATTGAAATTGAAATGAATTTGTTTCTCTCTTAAAGTGTTTCTATGCTGGTGTTTGAAAGGGAGTCTAGAAATGAATTTTTTGACAAATATATATTTTTCATATCCTAATATCTGTATAAACAGGACTTTAAGGGTGCTTGATTTCAGATTAAGAGAAGGAAAAAGTAGATGATTTCCAGATGTGCTTTATTTTCTCACCATTTTCACAGGGAAATATATTTAAACTTTTACTCTCCTCACACCCACACTCCCCTAGAGATGTCTGTAATGCTACAGTAATGCGAGGGCTGCACTGGGGGAAGCCCACGCAGTCAGTTTTGTCATTGCATTAAAGGGGAACTCTTTAGTGTGGATAATTCAATCATCTACATGTACATTATTCAGAGTGGTTTGATATGTAAATATTCATTGTAGGGAAACCTGCTGACATGAATTTCTTTATAATGGTGGTGATGGTAACCAGGGGTTGCAATGTCTACAATGCAAATGTAGCTGTTTTATTTACTATCCAAAACCACCAGTGAACCTACACATGTCTGAGTTTTTATATGTAATGTTGATAACGGTTAAATAGTGGTAAATGTTTTATTTTGGGGGACTATTTTGCCAAAAGAAAGCTTTCCAGCATGAACAGATTTTAAAAATACTATTTAGGTCAATTTATTCAAAACAATGTATTCATAACCAAAACAGTGTATCATAACAATTTCATGTAATAAATGTTCTGTGATGTAGTTTTTGCAGGCACTAAACTCTTTAGACGTCTGGTTCCTATCACCGCCACTGTAAACCATTCTGAATAGTTTTTTCTAGTGCGGAGCATTTCACATCAGACTACTCTGAATGACTTTGTTTACATCTGAACAGTTGATATAAGCAGTAATACACGTATAACATCATAATATTTTAAATTGAAATGCATAAAAGTACTTATTTTTAGACTTCAAAACAATGGAATCTAATTAAATTAAACTCATAATAAACTCATAATAAATCAAAATCTTTCAACTTCACCTTAAAAGAAATCTAAAAATCTATTATTTTCACAAGTTGAAATTTAGATGTTAGGGTTTGGCACAGCCACCTTCCAATAGAAAGTACCTTGTAAATGATAGTTTTGTATATATTTACTTCATTGATGTCTCAATGAATGCATTGATCATAACATATCCCTTGTAAACATCCTTACAAATATTTTTTTTTTTACTACATGGCTGCAGTTTGAACCTGTCCAGGAGAATGGTCCATACACTACATCAAACTATTTAATTTCAAAAAAGGTTTTCCATGATATGTGAGCCCTTCAAATGTTCTTGTCAGAGGGCTGTACTTGACATCTCTTGGTACTTTAGAATGCATATGTTTAGTAAGTTCCCAGTGATAAGCGAGACATTTGTCAAATGGCAATGATATACAGAATACTCTTTAAAGCACAGTGGTGAGTGGTGGTTGTATTTAAAATCTGCACAGTCCATGACAGACATGAATATTAAATGAAAAATCTCCTTCTTGTTTTCAAACATCAAAAAAAGATTTTTTTTTTCACATTCATATAATTCTAGCCTACATTAATAGTCCTCAGCTTACATATGGATTTTGTTTAAGTACTAATTTGCAAACTGATGTGCAAACATTATTCAACCCTAAGAAATCATAAAACATGTAATTAAATAATAATAATAATATAAAGTAATAATATAATAAAAAGTAATTACATAATTAACTAGATAGTTTCTTGCATAATGACCTACATGTACATTTGAGTGTCTGGACCATTTGTTTTAATGTTAAACATTGACAGTATGTAAAGAATGGCTTTTGTTTCTGCAAAACAAGACTGTACACACAACACTGATTTCTCATTGAATTTAAAGGACCCACATCTCACATTTTGCTTGCTTTTTATGTGCCCACTTCTAACATTTGTGTCATTATTTATTTTAACATGACAGTTTTCCAACCTCTCTTTATGCCTTAAAATTGAATGGGCTGTTTTTGTTACTGCGACTTTAAGACTGATATGTTTAAGATTTCTGTTGTCTTGTTGGCC